ATATCTGAAGATCCAAATAACGAGAACATCATTGGATATAATTCCAAGCGATGTTGGCCACGTGATTGCCGTATGAGATTGATTAAGCATGACGTCAACCTTGGAAGAGCAGTATTCTGGGATATCAAAAATCGTCTTCCGCGCTCACTCACAACCATCGAGTGGGTTGATACGAACGCTAGTGTTTATTCCAAGGACAACCCTCAATTACTTTTTAGCATGAGTAATTTCGAAGTTCGAATCCTCCCCAAAATCCGAAACGTTGGCGAGGCATTCACTCTCAAGGATGGCGTGTGGAATTTGGTCAATGAAGCTACCAAAGAAAGGACCGCACAGGCTTATCTCCGAGTTAGTGATTACGGAATCGATCAATTCCACAATCGAATCCGACAAGTATTGATGGCTTCAGGCTCGACCACGTTCAGTAAAATTGTGAATAAGTGGAACACGGCGATCATCGGATTAATGACCTACTACCGAGAGGCGGTGATTCATACTAACGAGATGTTAGACCTCCTTGTGAAAAGTGAAAACAAGATCCAAACGCGGGTCAAGATCGGTTTGAATTCTAAGATGCCCTCTCGATTCCCTCCGGTCGTCTTCTACACGCCTAAGGAGTTGGGTGGATTGGGCATGTTGTCCATGGGGCACATCTTGATCCCGGCATCCGATCTGCGATGGTCGAAGCAAACAGATACTGGCATCACCCACTTCAGGAGCGGTATGAGTCACGAGGAAGATCAATTGATCCCAAACTTGTATCGATACATTCAGCCATGGTCATCCGAATTCGAGGATTCTGCGCGAGTCTGGTCGGAATATGCGATGAAGAGAAAGGAAGCAAACTCTCAAAATAGGCGACTGACCTTGGAAGACTTGGAAGACAGTTGGGATCGAGGCATTCCAAGAATTAACACCCTATTCCAAAAGGATCGACATACGCTGGCCTACGACAAGGGCTGGAGGGTTCGGACGGATTGGAAACAGTACCAGCTGTTGAAGCATAACCCATTTTGGTGGACCAACCAGAGGCACGATGGCAAGTTATGGCAGTTGAATAACTATCGAGTTGATGTGATTGCAGCATTAGGCGGTGTTGAAGGCATTCTAGAGCATACCCTCTTCAAAGGTACTTATTTCCCCACTTGGGAGGGGCTCTTCTGGGAAAAGGCCTCTGGATTCGAAGAGTCTATGAAGTAAGTCATCTCTGACGTACAGCTCTCAATCCTTTCTTTCTTATTCATGTACCTCATTTTGTTGATTCCAGATTCAAAAAACTCACGAACGCCCAGCGATCAGGTTTGAACCAAATCCCGAACCGTCGCTTTACCTTGTGGTGGTCGCCTACAATCAATCGTGCGAATGTTTACGTGGGATTCCAAGTCCAACTCGATTTGACTGGGATTTTCATGCACGGAAAGATTCCTACCCTCAAGATCTCGCTCATCCAAATATTCAGGGCGCATTTGTGGCAAAAGATTCATGAGTATGTTGGAATGCCACTGATGATGAAGCCTCCTCATGATGCTGATCAATAATATTGTCTGGTATTGCAGATCGGTCGTAATGGATCTTTGCCAAGTTTTTGATCAGGAATTGGAAGCCCTGCAAATTGAGACCGTACAGAAGGAGACGATCCATCCACGTAAAAGTTACAAGATGAACAGCTCCTGTGCCGATATCTTACTGTTTAGCGCCTACAAGTGGAACATGACCAGGCCATCCTTGCTGACTGATTCCAAGGATGTTTTGGATGGAACCACCAGTCAGAAATACTGGCTCGATGTCCAATGTCGTTGGGGAGATTTCGATTCGCATGACATTGAGCGGTACACTCGATCCAAATTCTGTATGTCAGCTCGTTCACTGCTCACAACCGCACTGACTGACGCTTCACATGTTCCCCCCGCGATATTGAAAAATCAGTGGACTATTCTCAAGACAATACGTCGATCTACCCGTCTCCCACGGGTTTGATGATTGGGATAGATTTAGCTTACAATCTTCATTCGGCATATGGGCATTGGTTCCCGGGAGCCAAACCGCTCATCCAGCAAGCCATGGCTAAAATCATGAAAGCCAACCCAGCCCTTTATGTCTTGCGAGAACGTATCAGGAAAGGGCTCCAGCTCTACTCCTCCGAACCGACGGAGCCGTACTTGAACTCTCAGAACTACTCGGAGTTGTTCTCCAACCAAATCATTTGGTTCGTGGATGATACCAACGTATACCGAGTTACGATCCACAAGACTTTTGAAGGAAATTTGACCACGAAGCCAATCAACGGTGCCATTTGTAAGCATTTGCCTGCATCATCCTGCGCCAGATCAACCTGACAATCATTCTCCCTTTCATATCCTAATGGACTGCAGTTATCTTCAACCCTCGTACTGGGCAGTTGTTTTTAAAGATCATTCACACTTCGGTCTGGGCTGGTCAAAAGCGATTGGGTCAATTGGCAAAATGGAAAACGTGAGTTGCCTTCCCCCAGTATCCAATCCTAAACCAGGCTCTCAATAACACTTGGCACTATATTTTTTCGTCCAGTGCCGAAGAAGTGGCCGCCTTGATTCGTTCTTTGCCAGTTGAAGAGCAGCCCAAACAGGTGATCGTGACTCGCAAAGGGATGTTAGACCCTCTTGAAGTTCATTTGCTCGATTTCCCCAACATCGTCATCAAAGGTAGTGAATTGCAGTTACCCTTCCAATCAGCCATGAAGCTTGAGAAGTTTGGAGATCTCATCCTTCGAGCAACCCAGCCCCAAATGATTCTTGCCAATCTGTTTGATGATTGGCTTAAATCGATCTCATCTTACACTGCATTCTCGCGTTTGATCTTACTGTTGCGGGCGCTGCATGTCAACCAAGAGAAATCGAAGATCATTTTGAGGCCGAACAAGTCGACCATTACGCAACCTCATCATGTCTGGCCGACACTGTCGGATGACGAGTGGATGAGAGTTGAGCTGGCTCTTCGGGACCTGATCTTGGCTGATTACGCCAAGCGCAACGCGGTTAATACCGCCTCATTGACCAGCTCCGAGATTCGGTATGCCCCCCCCC